CCCCTCCGACCTTCCATTGACAACTGCAGAATCCTTATCAGAGACTTCTTTTCCGTTGCATATCAAAGGAAAACTCACATTAGCAGGCCCAGATGGTTTTGCCTTAGCATTTAGCTTTTCTTCTGGGGAAAATGGTTTTGCCCCAGCATTTAATCTCTTTGTTGGGACCACATTCTGAGAGCCTAACTCATTCTGATTTTTATCAGGCAGTTTCCCCTCCGACCTTCCAATATTGACAACTGGGGAATCCATATCAGCGACTTCTTGGCCGTCGCATATCAAAGGGAAACTCAGATGAGCAGGCCCAGATGGTTTTGCCTTAGCATTTAGCTTTTCTTCTGGCGAAAATGGTTCTACCCCAGCATTTAATCTCTTTGTTGGGACCACATTCTGAGAGCCTAACTCATTCAAATTTTTGTGAGACTCACTCGAACATTTTTGCTGAGCAGTTTGAAAATTACACTCGGTGTTTCTACTGAATTCAGATCTACTATTCCCAGTGAAAATCTCCTCCTCTCTCCCAACGATCTCCTTGAACCCCTTATCACTAGAATCCCCATCAGACTGTTCCACATCCAACCTGCCATCCACAACTGCGCTATCATTATCAGATATGTCAAAATTTGAATCTACAGCTACCGAATTCTGATCGGTCTCTTCAATTACTTTAACATTATAATCATTGGAATCAATCCTACCGGTCAATGATTCGGAGATAATCTCATTTGAAGTAGTTCTAATCAACACTGTTGCAATATCAAGTCGTTTTTTGTTAATGGTAGAATCGTCCATGGAAATAAACCTTCCACGCATACGATCGACGACCATTCTGAAGAACCTCACCGTCCAAGCATGCAGAGGAACTCCTTCAATCCTTAGATAAACATACCTTTCGTCACCAATTTTTGGGGACCAGGGCTTGACCCATTGAAAATGGCGCTTCAACAGAACTCTGCCTTTGTCAATTAGAGTGCTCAGGTCGTTATTATTTGGGCAGTGTAAAAGAACAAGATCGCCTTCCATCTGAACAGCCTTGCAGAAGGTAAAACCCTGCTCACGAAGACTTTCGCTCACCGCAGGAAGAGTATCTTTGGGTTCCCGAAGACATCCTACAGCACAGCAATCTAACCAAGCTTTCTCTTCTTTTTCTGTTTTGAACTCAAAGATCTTATCCCTCTCAATTGCATTTCGTTTGGGAATCCAGATACGGCGAATACGACCGGATCTTTTACAGTATCTGCACTTTCTTTCCGGTCTGTGAGTACTTGAAACTCTGGATCTGTTAAAAATCGCCGGAAATGTGTTCTCACAATAGGCACAGGGTAAGTTGGGAGAGAAGTACTCACCTTGGTCAAATCCACGCCTCCGAACTTCTGCAGCCATTCTGTTCCCCTCACAATAACTTCTGCAGTTATTGATGGATCCGGAATAGTCACCACTGTTGAATCCACCTGATCCTGGGCCACTATTGTTGTTGTGACCTACGGTACCGGGGCCTATGTTGTTAGCTGAGATCTGAGTGCCAGCGCCATGGCCTATGTTTGTAGTGTGATTATGCAAGCAGTAAATACTCCTACAAGACATGGCGTCGTCGACGTATTTTCTTCTTCATTTGTTCAATCAGAGAGACCAACTGAGAGAGCAGTTATGTTTCCATGTTTGCAGAAAAGGTCTTGAGGAAGAGCAAGTGAGCGTGTCTTTTTAAAGAAATCGAAACTATAATCTATATTAAGAACCGGTGTTGTCTGGTGTGGAGGACTCTAGAGAACTCTTTGATTATGGAGGACGGCTGGGCAAGGACTTTAACTTTAACCGTAGAGGAGAGAATGAAAGGTAATCGTCGAATTTTAAGGCCAATTAAC